TAAAGCAAAAAGATATGGGCTTAAAGTCGATCCCTGATGTAAACCAACAGAAATAGGAAAATATTTTGTCAATCCTCCTTCAGTTTGAACACAAGTAACAGCTCTAGTATACATATCTTTAATGACTTGAATATAAGTCATATCAACACATTTCTTCTCGAGAAAGAACTCTCCAATATCTCTTGGAACCTTATCGTAAGCTTTTTCTAAATCAATAAAAATCAAATCTAGATTCTCGTTATCATCTCTGAACTTCTCCATCAAACCTCTCAATAAATGTATAGCTTCTATAGTAGACCTGCCCGACATAAATCCAAATTGATTATGAGAAATTTTTGTGATGCGTCTTAACCTATGTTCAATTACCATCTCCCATATTTTTAAAGTATGGCACATCAACTTAATTCCTCTATAATTTGCACACTTTTGTGCATCCCCTTTATTCTTAAAAATGGGGACCAAAATATTCTTCCTCCACTCCTCAGGCATCTTTTTAGTTTTTAAAATAATATTAAAGAGTTTAGTAAGCCAAGAAACTCTCAAATCTCCCAAATATTTCCACACTTCAATTGGGATATCATCAGGTCCTACAGACTTTCCACCCTTGGTTTTCTTTAAAGCCTCCTCAACTTCCTTTTTGCTAATGCGACGGTAAAAATGAAACGTTTTATTATTATTCACGATATTAAAATTACTAAGGTCGATCGTATTTTCAGAAATTTCATTAAAAAGTATATCAAAGTAACTCACCCACCTATGTTGAATATCTTTTTCTAAGAAAAGTAGTTTTTGATTTTCATCTTTAATACACTTACTTTTTCTAAGATATTACACATGATAGATACAATAGAGCAAAATTCGCAACCTAAACAGAATAGATCACTAGAATGATACATCAAAATGTAATCACAAAATTATAACATAGAGTTAGACATAATATAATGCAATTCAACAACTATAACACAATAGAATGCAATACAACATTATAATACACTAGAATCCAATCCAATTGCTACAAACAACAGGAAGTATCCAATAAATATAACACAATAAAGTACAGTACAACAGTTATAATATAACATAACGCAATCTAATAGTCATATTATAAGATAGTGCAATCTAACAGCTATAATATCAAGAGACTGCGATCCAATAACTATAACAAAATAGAGTGCAATCCAACAATTATAACACAATAAAAAGCAATACAATAACCATAATATAATAGAGTGCAATCTAACAACTATCACACAATACAAAGTAATTCAAAAATTATAACACAACAGAGTGAAATCCAACAACATGTCTGAATAAAAACAATCAATGAAATAACATACATTTAAAATAGAAATAAACAACCTACATTAGATCAATAAAAATTTAGACATAAACAACCTACATATATATATAAAGATGCTCACAAACTAATTCATTTTTTTTAGTGAGCCTATTAAATCTACATTATAGAATTGTGTACTATCAAGAAAATTAGATATATTATGTTGCATACGCTCCATGTCTCTGTTGCAAATAAGACAAAGCACACATCAAACTATATGTGTAAGAATTATTTAATTTTTGGTTAAAATTCTAAATAATTTAGGTGCCCTCCTTCGTTCTGGGGTTGCCGGAACCAGATGCATTTTGCACAGCGAAGAAAGAACAGATATTTTGCCTTTTGATAATTACTCTCATCATTAGGATAGCGCCTAAGTGGAGCTGCAGGCCATTAGATGCTTTCATAATTTTTGCAAGCCATGGATGTTCGAATGCAAAAGCATTATAATTGAAGGAGATAGTGTGAACATCATCCACTTTTTAAGCTCTACAAAGAAGGATGTTGTTTGGCAGCAACGACCACAGGAGGCTTCGGATTTTGCTTTTCTCTTAAACTTTAAGCAAGTTTTATTTTTCCATATACCACAGGATTGTAATAGGGCCACTCATTTTTGTGCTAAGTGCACCCTTAGTGGTTCTTTTGTTTTGATGCATGTAAATGATGATAAAAAACTTTCTACCATACTTATAGACAATTGACCTCTTTTTTGTACATTATAGACATACATGCTTGCTTTTTTTTAACCTTTTTGATATATTAATGCAAATGTATATTTTCCCAGAAACCTTGTCTATGTTAGGTTCCTTTCACTTTGGAAGAAAGGTGGAGAAAATCGTATTCTCTTATTTCTCAATAATCAAATTACAATTCTTCTCCTTATATAATAAGGAACGCGCGGGTATGAATTATTACAACGATTACAACTTACCATAGAATACATAACTCAAGATGATAAGAATTCTAACAAAATAAGGAATCAAACTAAAATGTAAAGCTCAAAATTCCACACTTCCCCTCATCTTGGGCCATAGATGTTGTAAAGACCCAGCTCAGTATTCATATCAGTGAAGCTGCCTGCAGGTATAGATTTATTGAAGATACCACTGATTTTATGATGAATTGAAATTTAGATTAAGTGAATAATGCCTTCACTGACTTTTTCAGAGATAAAATATCTATCAATCTCAATGTGATTGGTCCTGCAATGATACACAAAATTCTTTGCAATACTAATTGTGCGCTTGGTTATCATAAAACACCTTCATAGGATTGACATTTGAAAGTAGAGTATCCCAACTTATTTAGCAACCTTTGGATCTACATTCCTTCACACATTCCCAAAGCAAGTGCGCGGTACTCAGATTTGGAACTACTTCTAGAGACCATTGCTTGTTTCTTACTCTTCAAAGTGACAAGAATTTCCTAGCCATAGTAACAATACCCAAAAGTTGACCTTCCGACCATTAGTACTCCTGCCCAATTAACAACAGTGCAGACATCCACCTTCCCGTTGTCTGATTTCTTAAATAGTAACCCTCTACTAGGGGTCTTATTAAGAAAACTCAATATTTTGTAAACCATCTCCAAAGGTTCTTCACTTGGACTATACATTTGTTGACTCACAATGTCGACAGAGTAAACAATATCACGTCTAATGTATGATAAGTAGTAAAGCCTGGATCTTCTCTTCAACTAACTTTTTCCATACTAAAATTTGAAGTGCTTCATGAGCAGGCTTGGGTATCTACACACGATCGAGATTAGATACAAAATCTTATAAGTTGATGATAACTTACCATATACGACATAATCCTAGATAGGATAATTTGTGAAACTTTTAGTCTTCTTCATTGCATTTCATCTCCTATGGAACTTCAGAGATGTATGAATTCGAGTTTGGTTTTGAATAGTCTTATGGTTGCATATTGTCATTATCCTGCTCAGTGGATTTATTTCTACTAGTATACACACGAAGTTCTTTGTTGTCAATCCCATGTTGGATTTTCTCAACTAGTGGAAGTTAGGAGATATAATGGAAGGAGTGAAGTAGAATAGGCTATGATGACTCTAGAACAGTG